GTGTGCAGGCGCAGCATGTAACACCCCCCCCCTCCTTATGAAGTCAAGCCGGGGCGAGGGCGAAGCCGACGATCTGAAGGTGGAACCTGGACGTGGGCGCGGCGTGGAACCGAAGAAACCGGCTTGCCTTGCATCTTGCGTTCATAGCGTGCGAGAACGTCTGGAGCTATTGCTTGAAGTTCCGCACGCGTTAACCAACCTTCAGCTCGGTGTGTGAAGTATGCAAAGTGCACCAAATACTCAGTTGGCTTGTTGCCGTAGCGTCGCTGGGAGATGATGTCACCGACCTCCTGAAAACCGTCAATAGAAGGTGGGTCTTGCGTACGTCTCCCGGGAAAATCGTCATGTTCCGCTGGCGTGTAAAGAGCCAACTTGGAGCAATGAAAGACTGGGTAGACCGGCAAGTGGCCAGGCAGCTGAATCGTGAAGGAAGGTCCCTCGGGTGCGTCCCCAGCAGGGGCTACAATCGGCCAAGGCCCCATCCATTTCGGGAGGAGCTTGCGAGAGATGTCTTGTTCAAGGCTGAATTCCGCTGCGGAAACCCAAACAAGGTCGCCTGCGCGGACTGGGCAAGGAAGACGCTGGCGATTGGCCTGTTGGCTCATGCGCTGCTGCGTCTTAGCCATCTGATCGTGTGCCTTGACAAGAAGCTCTTGCATCCGACGCAAGAAAAGAAGATGGTCGTCGCTCTCGACTGTTCGTGGAGTAATAGTATCCAACGATGAAGTGACTGGCGAGCCGTGCTCAAACTCAAGGGGCGACATCCCGATAGCCGGGTGGATAGATGAGTTGTAGGCCAACTCGACATCTGGCAGCCGCTCAACCCAGTCCTTCTGGTCGGGGCGGATGAGAGTGCGAAGGAGAACCTGTGCGGTCTGATGCGCCCTCTCCGTCTGGCTGAGGGTGGCTAGCTGAACTGGGCTTGAGAGATGAGCCCCATCGCTTGATGAGTGCCAACCAAAAACCGGACATGAACCGAGTGTCGCGGTCGCAGACGATTTCCTTGGGGTAACCCTTGGTTCGAATCCAACCGGCGTAGAGAACCTCGGCCAACTCCGGTGCCTTGGCATGACAGTGACAAGGCGAACTTGGTGAGTCGGTCGACCACCGTAAGAATCCCATCCACTCCGGTCTTGTGCTTGGGGAACGGGCCGGTAATGTCCATGGCAATCGCTTCCCTTCGCCTCAACGGGACTGACAATGGTCGTAACTCGCCGTACGGACGATGGTTGCGGGATTTGCAGCGTCGGCAAACCTCGCATGACTCGCAATAGCGCGTGACGTCGCCGAGAAGGCCGGGCCACCAAAATCGTTGGCGAAGTCGGCGAATCGTGCAATTGACTCCAAAGTGTCCGGTGGCGAGAGCATCGTGGAACTCGCCAAGAAGCCGTGTACGCAAGTGAGGATCACTTGGTACGCAAAGAAGGTCCTTCCCCCGCGTGTGGACAAGCAAGTACCCCTCTTGGATCCGGTAGTGAGGAGCCGGAGTACGAGAGGAGCAATTCACGTACTAGTCGCGAAACTCGGGGTCGGGTTGGTAGCCGCGGATGAAACTGTTCCGCAGGTCGTCATCGATCTTGAAGGTTGAGTAGACCGCGGTACAATGATCCGGACGCCGTGAAAGAGCATCTGCAAAACGGTTCGACTTCCCGGCAATGTGATCGGGAAAGAAGTCGAACTGGTCGATGAAAGCCATCCATCGAGCGATGGTGCTGTTGACGGTGTCTTGGGTCTTGTAGAAGACCAACGGATTGTTGTCCATCACCCAACGAAATTGGCTTCGACCAAGGAGGAAGTGCCGCCACCGCTTGAGCGCGTGGACGAAGGCGAGGAGCTCCTTCTTGCGTGCATCGTCAATGGAATGCACGAGTGGCACTTTCTTGCTGAAGCACTCGACCGGGTGTCAATCCACACCATCATGTTGCTCGAGGACTRCACCAATGCCATAGCCTGACGCATCCGTAGTGACACGTGTAGGCGCGAGCGGGTCGTATATCCGCAAGACCTCCACAGACAATAGCGCGGCTTTGACAGCGAGGAATGATACCCGCGCCTCCTCTCCAAAGTCAAACGGCCGATCCTCGCACTGAAGCTTGTTCAAGTGGGCCGCGATCTTGGAGTAGCCTTTGATGARGCGCTSATAGTAGCCGGTAAGACCGAGGAACGAGCGGACATCCGTGACGTTCCGAGGCTCCGGCCACTCTTGGACGGCCTGAATCTTGTCCGATAACGGACTGATGCACTCCGGTGTGACAAAATGGCCCAAGTATTCCAGCTCTTGCCGGACAAATTCGCACTTGTCGCGGTTGGCCTTGTACTTGGCACGGCGGAGCGTCTCCAACACTCGTCGAAGATGTCCAAGATGATCCTCCATTGTCCGGCTATAGACGAGAATATCGTCTAAGTAGACCAGCACGGACCGGTCCAACATTGCACGAAACTCGTTGGTCATTGCCGCTTGAAAGGTCGTCGGGCCGTTGGTGAGGCCAAAAGGTATGACCACCCACTCAAAATGCCCGTACCGCGTCTTGAACGGGGACTTGTAGCGATTGTTCGGCTGGATCGAGATTTGATGATATCCCGATTTCAAATCCAACTTAGAAAAATAGTTTGCGCCGCCCAATCGCTCAAGAAGATCGTCGATGCGAGGAAGAGGCCTCGCATTCTTGACGGTTTGCGCGTTGAGCTTGCGGTAGTTGATRCACAATCGTAGATCCTTGTTCTTCTTCCGGACGAAGAGAACTGGTGCTCCATATGGGGAGCTACTAGGGCGGATCCAGCCCTTGGCCAACAAGTCGTCGAGTTGTGCGCGGAGGACCTCAAGCTCCTCCTCGCTCATCCAATAGATGCAACCTTTCGGCGGCACGGCACCAACCTCAAGAATGATCTCGTGAGAGATCGGCCGATCCGGCACCACCCCGGTAGGTGACTCGAAGATGTCGGCGAACTCGTCCAGCAACCGCACCACCGGCGGGTCCGAAGACAAGTCCGTGGGTGAAGCGGCTACCGCGACGGTCCGTAGGAAACATAGGCCGATTTCCTCGGGCTGCTCGTAAGCGCAAGTCGCCCGAAATGATTTGGCTGTAACCACTTGGCACCGGATCGAAGAGTGCGGTAGAGGAATCGTACACGCCGCTTCCGCGCCGAAGGCGTTGCGAACGTTAGGAGTCCGCCGATGGAAGTTGACCATGTGATCCGCACTTGCAAGCCAAGGCATTCCCAGAATGACGTCGAAGTCCGTGTCGAGAATATCGAATGTCACCGGTTCGCATGCATGAGGTGCGAAGTAGACCGGTACGGCCTCGATGTAACGGTCGAGAAGTTGTTGTGTCTTACCATCCGCCAACTTGATCGTCGTTGGGTTTGCCTTTCTCCGAACTTGAGCGCCAAGGCCAGCTTTTTGCATAAAAGACTGGCTCATGAAGTTGCGAGTCGCGCCACTATCCACCAGAGCATTGCAGGACGCCTGTCCGACCTGGATGCGGACATACATGAGCGGTGCGTTGTTGTTATCGTACCGCTGCGTGCGAAACTCGCAGGCCACCTTGGTAGTATACGCCAGGATGTCCCCCACCGCGACTTCGTCATCCGTCGGCGACGTTGGTGGTGCATAGAAGGAAAGGTAAGTGTGGAGATGAGCGCTAAGTGCTGCGCATTGCGGTCCCGGCAAACAGCCTGTGGTCGGGAGAGGAAGCCATGCAAAGTCCTCAGACGTGAGCGGGTCCAATGCCTCTACATTGAACTCGCGTGCCGAATCCCGTGACGAACCACTTGAAGACGATCTGTCGCTGTTGCCGGACGGAGAAGAAACCGCACACACTCCTTGTCCTTGAGCTTGAGTACCCAGCGTTGGAACGAGCCGGGCAGCATAGTCCTCAAAAGAAAGTAGAAGCGGAGGACTGTCGACTTCCGCGTGCGCCTCGGAATGAAGGCTGGTCACTCGCGAAGAAACCAGTTCCGAAGGCGTCGAGAGTGTCGTCGCATCACTCTCGGCGGTGCTCAGTTTCCCTGTCGACCCTTGCCCTTCAATGGGCAAACCTGCGTCAGATGAAGATCGTTGTTGCACCACAGGCAATAATGGAATCTCTCGTGCGCCTTGTAGGCGGACTTGGAGATGTCGTACGGGGTCCATGGGCCTGTCTGAGCTGCTGCACCGGGCCCGAGGCTAGAAACGGTGTGTCTTCGACTTGCCGCGACCTTTGCCTCTGTCGGGGCGGCCACCTTCTCGGACGGCTGCGAATCTGTCTCCTTCATTGGCAGACGCAACCTCGCTGGATTGGTCTAACGGCGCTGCCGCTGCGACCACGGCCACTCATGGCCGATGCTGGTTCCCGCTCGGGCCTGACGCAGATGAACGGAGGTTCTTAGCCTCCTTGTTCGTAACGATGATCTGCGCAGCCTTGTCGAATAATTCCGCCGTCGTCGTCAAGGTGTCCTCGACATGCGTCAGGGCATTGCTCAATGTCGGACATGACCTTGAGATGAAATAGTGGCGGATGGCCTTGAAGCCCATCTGGATGTCTGGGACTGACGTCAAGCGTTGGTACTCGGCGATCCAGTCCGTACTCGGCAGCGAGCCTTGCTCGAAGACCATAAGCTTGTCCATGGCTTTGATCTCTGGCGGCTCCACCTGGAACCGCTTGTGCCACGTCGCCTTCAGATCATCCTAGTTGATCATGGTGTGCAAGTCCGCTGCTACCACTCCGTACTTGGACAACAAGTTGTCCAACCACGCCTGACACGCGCCCCCTGAGCGAGAGTACAAGTAAGCGTGGTGCTTGTTTTCCTTGACGTTGTGGAGCTGCAACGTGAGCTCGAACTTGCGAAACCATGGAATTGGATCTGTCTTGATTGAGTCGTGGAAGATCTCCTGCCCATCGAACTTAGGAGCTGTCTCGCGCGGCTCCGGACTCAAGGTAGTGGCGGTAGTGCAGATCCGCTGCTGCAATTGTTGCGTCGCGGTCTGCTGTTACTGTGCGCCATCCTGAAGGGAGCCGACGCGCATCTCCAATGCGGTGAGGCGGTCGGCAGTGTTGGAAGAGCCTGCATCGGCGGCGACGACTGGTCGCTGCTCCACCCGCTRAAGGCGGTCTTGGAGATGAGCTACCGAGTTGTCGAGAGCAAGGATCTCCGCCTGCTGTGTAATGCAGGTTGCCAGGAGATGCGAGAGGAGGAGCGCTATCTTGTTTGCGCTATCCTCCAACTGGCTATTCTCGGCCTCGCTTCGCCATTCTGCTGCCATGGTAAGTAATGCCCGCTCTCCGATGAATATCTTCTCACGACGCTGTGTTCTTTCTTCATCGGCAGCCCTTGCTGCTGCCTCGTATTGCTGGCGCTGTTGTTCAAGTGCCAACAGACGTGCCTGCTCGGCATTCTTGGCCTTCTTCTTCGCTGCTGCTGCAGCGTCATCTGCCCGTTTCTTTGTCTCGGTACTCCAGGCCAGCATGCGAGCCTGATAGGCCTCGCGTGCTTCCCCAGGCCTCTGGTCCATGACTGCTGTTTGAGATCGCAACAGCATAGACCGGGCGGGGGCCTGTTGATGTGGTATCCCTTGCTGCTGACCTGGCACTGCTAACGTGTCCTGCTGACGTGGTCTGCTGACGTGGTCTGCTGACGTGGCCTGCTGACGTGGCAACTCACCAATGCCGCAGCAGGGGGTACCCGGATACCAACAAAAACGGGAAGGCGAGAGATGGCAACAACATGGGTGGGGAGGGGTGGGTGGGATAATCGCCCGTCCAGTCAATTAGGTAAGGAGCCACTAATCAAACAGGAAAAGTTCGAACTTTGCAAAAAAATTCGAGAAAAATAATAAAAAAATCCCCATTTTTGCAAGTTCGGTAGGTCTCCCAACCTCCCTTGAAGTGCGAAATGATCACTGAAAAAAAAATTGACTTTAGACTGCCAATGATTTATAGAACTGAGCGACAAAATCCCAGAACTGAGAAAAAAATTCCGAACCGAAATGACAAATATTTGAATTTATTCCGATGAGAATATTCGCAGTTTGGAAAATAATACTGCAAGAGGTATTTCCCGTACAGTTTTCAGAAAACAAATTTCAAAAAAGAAAATATTTCAAATTTCTAAATAACGGGAAACGCAACAGGAAATCAAAATTTTTGAAAAGAAAAATATTCCGGATTTTCAACAACGAAATTTCGAATTTTCAGAAGAAAAACGAAAATGGGAATTTCAGATGATGCGATTTTGCGATTTTCCACAACAAAATAGCGAGAAAATAAAATCCAAGAAAAGAAAAAAATTTCGATTTTCAGTAGTGAGGTCAAGATCGTGATTTTGGGGTCTAACTAGTATGTCCTAATCAACCAATAAAGACTAACTAGCTTTTTTGGTCCCCGCACACGTSTCAGATCAGGGTGTCCTGATTCACGTGCAGAAGCTCCGATACCAACTGTTACATGCACAGATATGCAATGTACGTAATAACCGAGGAACTGCAGTGTGATGAAAAGGACTGACTGGACAATACAGTGCGAGCAGAATTTCGACAGACAATGTACATTCTCATACATACAAAAGGTGCTGAATAGCGCAGGGAAGACTTTGATACAAAGACTGACCTGACAGGACTGACCTCATTCACGTAGTTCARRGTAGCGAAAYAGAATGCTAGAGTAGTACTAACTAGCCCAATCAATGTTTGAACTCAGAMTAAACATGCATGATATCCATCACCRAGTGTGAAGGAGCCYGGCGYTGWACACAGGRAGAAAGCGCCAGGTCCAGACATACACAGACGAAGAGAYAAGGATCRGACGAAAGGAGGGAGAAGGATGGGAATGTCGTTAACACCAAGTCTTGGTCACCAATCCCAMATRGTCCCTCGTTGCCATGTCTGAACTTCCAAAAGTCGAGTCTGGATCAAATGTCACCAAGCTCTGTATCTCTTCTCTCATAGTCTGCAGATGCAGTGAAGTCAGAAGTTGAGAGGGAGAGAAGAGNGTGCCGAGTCTGGATCAAATGTCACCAAGCTCTGTATCTCTTCTCTCATAGTCTGCAGATGCAGTGAAGTCAGAAGTTGAGAGGGACAGAAGAGATGGTGGACTGAGAAGAGGAAGAAGCTCTCTCTCTCTTTCTCTGTTACGAACCAGATACTAACCTGTGATGTTGGCGTTGTGCAGCAGGTACCTCGAAGACGAAGCTGGAGCAACGGGGCTGCAGGTAGGTACCTCTGGCCTCCGCCCAAGCTCTCTCTCTCTCTCTCTCTAGTACTACCTAGCTATGACGCCCAGCGCTGGAGACTACAGCTACCTACTGCGCCCAGCGCTGAAGACTACAAGCTAACGCTACTACTACTACACTGCAGTGCTCCCTCCAGAGTGCTGCTCCCGAATCCTGAAGACTACAACTCCTGAATGAATCGTGGCGTGCCTGGGGGGGTACCTATATACTTCCACGGCCTGCCTCCTACGGGCCAGCCAGGCTGAGGAGGCTGCTCTTGCCAATCCACGGCCTGCCTCCTAACTGCTTGAAGGGCCAGCCAGGCCGAGGAGGCTGCTCTTGCCAATCCACAGCCTGCCTCCTGACTGCTTCCAGGACGAGGAGGCTGCTCTTGCCAATGCACGGTCTGCCTCCTGACTGCCTGAAGGGCCAGCCAGGTCGAGGAGGTTGCTCTTGCCAATGCCGAAGTGTGCCAGGGGCTGGCGCTGCAGCATCTGCTGAGGCTGGCGTGGATACAGGCTAAGAATAGCCTGTTCCCGAAACCCTGGTTTGGTGCCTGAGTTTCAGGGCCGGTCGTTTTGGTGATCGACCGAAAATAGCCCTTCGTTTCAGGCTAAAAAGGCTCTTGCCATTTTTAGTTTGATACGACACAGGGACTGTAGGCCCCTATTTTCAAGCTGAATTCTAGGCTTTTTGGCTGAAGGGCGCAGGGCCTGGAAAATGGCCTGCGTGTGCAGGCGCAGCATGTAACAGCTAATGTTTTTTGCCAACCAAAGTGTCCCTCTGTGTCATGGCATTCCCCTAAAATCAAACTGCGGATCTCTTCGTTGTTGGGAACGCACAGGCGGTCAAACACATTAGTCTTCTCAAATAGTAATCCCTCAGTAGTGCGGTAATCTGGCTCAGTCTCTGGAGCCTCTCTAACTCTCTTTAGGAGGTCACTATAGATGGGGTCCTGCGCATACACTTGCTTCACTTTCTCCTGCAGGTCTCTCCCTATATCCAGATAGTGTACTATGGCTCCTAAGTAGTCTGATCTCCTACTCAGAGCGTTCGCAACTAAGTTGTACTTGCCCTTTACTGGCTTGAGCTCAAAATCATACTGGTCTATCTCTGCGGCTAGTTAACTTCGGTGTCATCTTGGCATGAGTCTTCAACCATGTAAGGGTCTCATGATCAGAATACACTTTGAAGTGCCTCCCAAGCAGGTAATGCTTCCAGTGGTCTAGAGCCTGCCGGAGAGCGTAGAGTTCGCTCTCGTACGTCGAGGTAGCGACCTTCTCAGAGGGCATCCTCGCTGACATGAACTCTACGGGTTTATAGCCATTGTCGTTGTCTTGCTGCAACACGACACCTATTCCATACTGACTTGCGTCCGTGGTGACGACAAATGGCAAGGACGGGTCTGCTACTTTGAGGGCAGGATACTCTATTAACGCGCACTCCGACTTCTTGAGCGCAGACGTACAATCTTTGTCCCATTGCCAGATTGCCTCTTTCTTCAGCAACCTGCGCAGGGAGCGGCGAGACTATAAAAGTTCCTCACGAACTTTCTATAGTAGTTAGCTAGGCCTAGGAACGACCGCAACTCTGTCAATGTGCAGAGCGTCGGCCAATCTCTAATCGCCGCTATCTTGCTGTCCTCAAGCTTAATGCATCTCTGTCCAATATGTGGCCCACGTACAAGACTTGTGTCTTGGCCCACTCGCACTTCTTTGCGTTGATCTTGAAGTTAGCCTCTCGTAGCTTCTCCAAGACCTGCCTCAGATGACCCTGGTGCTCCTGGAGGGTCTTACTGAAAACTAAGATATCATCTAAATAAACTACAACCAACTTGTCTAACCATGGCCTAAACAGGTCATTCATACAACGCTGAAAAGTGGCTGGTGCATTTGTTAGTCCAAAGGGCATCACTATCAACTCATAGTGCCCATATCTGGTCCGGAACACAGTCTTCTACTGGTCATCAGGATGGACTTCTATCTGATGATATCCGGACTTCAGATCTATCTTAGAGAAGTACTTGCAACCCTGCACCCGATCCAAATGATCGTCTATCCTGGGCAGCGGCTCAGCATTCTTCACAGTGATCGCATTCAAACCCCTATAGTCTATGCACATACGGAGCTCTCCTTCCTTCTCGGGGACAAACAGAACTGGGGCTCCAAAAGGAGACGAACTGGGCCTGATCCAACCATTCTCGGGGAGCTCGTTTAGCTGCTTGCGTAGCTCCTCTAACTCTCTAGGGGACATCCTGTAGACTGCTCCCTTAGGAGTTCTACTGCCAGGCTCTATCTCTATCCTGTGCTGGATGGGTCGCGGCACTACCCCTGTCGGCGACTCAATCAAGTCTTTGAACTCCTCCAGCAGCTTGGCTATGGTGGGATCAATGGAACTGCCTTCCTTCTTGGCCTCAGTGACAGGTCTAACATAAACTTCAAAGACCTGGTCCTCTAACTGCTCCTTTTTCACTAATCGCACGAATGCGGGAGCACTGAGACAGCAATGTGCCAAGGTGTTGTCTACACCCGACACATGAAACAGGCGGGCAGTCTTGACCTCGCCTGATGGACTAGGGAGCCTACACTTGTGCTCTCTCAAGTGGAGTGTGGCCCCTGCTGCCTCTCCCCAATCCATTCCTAATACTACGTCAAAAGAAGGTCATCCTGAACGAGGAGAGTCAGGGAATGGAGGACTTTCTCCACCTTCCCATCCTTCTCTAGGCGAAAGTACGCCTGGACTCCCTCTACGTAGTCCTCAACACGCATTGTGCAGTTGTCTGCGAGGACACTGACTATGGGGTTGACTAACTTCTGGACTTTTCCCTACGACTAATATAACTGCGGTTCTTCATTTTGGCCCAGGCTGGCATCCTCTCCTTCAGCTCTTCTGCCACACCTGTGAGGGACGTGCCTAAAGAGACGCTAACACAAGCAGTCTCTGGACAGCTATCTAGGCACGGGCCTGCAACCTCTGCCATAAGCTCATGTGGTTTGGGAGTTTCCTGTTCGCGTGCTCTCACTTCCCCACATGGCCTTGTAGGGGCAGTTGCAACCCCTACTAGTGGCTGCCTTTTGACTGTTGAGCAGCCCAACGGGCCTGTCTATACTTAGGACAAAATTTAATGACATGGGAAGGGTCACCACAGAATACACACTGACCCTGGTCCACGCGCTCCTGCCATATGCGCTGGTCCAAGCCCAAATCTTCCCATGGCGTGCCCTGTGGCAAGCCTGGGTGCCATCCTCCTTGAGGTGCCCTTCCACCTCGTCGCAGCGGGGACCGACTGGGACCCTGACGATTTGGTGGGGGACCTTGACCCCTACCTCCCAGGAGTGCAATCCTCACTTGGCCTGAGATGGTACGACCTTTCCACCTTTTCCCCTTATCCAGATCCTTATGCCAGAAAGTGGTAACTGGCATGGACTTTAACTCATACAGGACCACTTCCCTACTCAACGCATCATAAGTGATAACGACCTGTTGAGACTTGTCAAAGAAGTGCCCACGCAGGGCCTCTGGCATGGCACGATAAAATAACTGGACCAATTGGGTCTCGGTGACCCCATGGTCTGGGACGGCTACCAAGTCGTCCATGGTGCCCTCGAGTGCTCTTGCACTCCTCCACTGTCGCGAGTGGATCGTTTGTAACTTATCAGAGGCCATGACGCCTCTTGTTGGATCAGCGAACCGCTCCTTCAGGAGCTTAAAGAATTGAGAAAGGGGGGTGACCTTTGAGCATGCAACCATGTTGTTTTCACAACCGTCTGCGCGCGCAAGGGATCTGGCGAAACTAGCCGCCTCATCCTTAAGGGCCTGGAAGGCCACGAGGACTTGTTCCTCTGTCAGGATGTGTTGTAGATACACGTAACTATTGACACTGGCTTCCCAGTTGTCAAAGTTTTCCTCCTTCCCTCCATATGCATCCGGGAATTTAAGTTTAAGTGGGTCCTTGCGAGGCCTGGCCTCGCCCTCTACAGCAGCTATCGCTTTGGCGCCCTCGATAACGCCCTCACAAACCTTCCCCACATTCTCTCAGTTGCTTGACTTCGCCCCCAATGTGGGTGACTATATCGCGCGCAAAATCTCTAAATCCCGACCGCATGGCACTCAAGGCTACTTCTTGGCTCCAACTGGCTTGGCGCTCCTCCATCCATGCTTTGCTCAGCACCTCCAGGTATCCCAATACCTTATCCCATTTGGCCTTATCATCTGTCTGGGCCTGCACTTCTTTCCTACAATCCTGCACCTTCGCCACCTCTTCGGTCAGTTTGTTGACTTCCTCTCTCCTCCTCTTCTTTTCCCTCTTCATCCTCAATTTCCATGCCAACTTCTGCTCCTCCTCCCTTTCTCGCCGTTCCATAGGATCCTCCATTGCTGCTAGCTCACTGGCTAGTGCATCCCTCTCATCCTGAGTCACATAGGACTCCGCCTCCTCGTCTTCTCCCAACGACAAATTAGCGACCCACTCGCTTATCTTCTTCTCCATCTCGGCATCTGCACCCCTCTTCGTGCCACTACTCCCCTCTACTTTCAATGCGCATTCTCTCCTTTTCTTCCTCAGCAGCCTTTCTCCTCTCTTCCTCTTCCTGTTGAACCCTCTTCTTCATCTCCTCCTCCAACCGCTTCATCTTAGCCGCCTGCTCCTCCACGATAGCTTTTAACTTCGCCTGCTTCTCGAGCTCTTTCCTCTCCTTGTTTTCTCTCACTAAGGCGGCCATTTTCTCTTGCTGTTCCTGAGTGTAGGGGCTAGTGTCTTTCCCACTACGGGTCTCAACCATGGTGATAGGTGCACAATCAGGAGGATTGCACTCCTCACCACGTAGACTAACCCCTGACTGACAAACCTACTGACTCAATCTAAGGACTCACAGAATCCTGACAGGGATCCTGCCAACTATGGTCTCTAGCCTAGACCTACACTATGGCTGTTACTACTAGACCTGTTGCTGATCAGGAGAAGATCCCCCGAACTCCTCAAGAATCATTTAACGTCACAGACACGACGACGCAATCAGCAGGTCTCTCAAGACTTAGACGGTCTGTTGTGCAGCCCACAGCTCGGATTTCGGGCCTACCGTGCCACACCGAGCAGCCCGCCGGTCAGCACCGGTGTCGGCTAGTGAGGTCTCTAGACTCTCTACCCAACCCGCCACTCAGAGATACCCTTCGCGCTTGACCGACTTCGCCTCTCGAGTTCGAGAGATCCCCCGCTTCCGGGCCTTGTCGGACTAGGCTCGCGGGAGGACCTTCCGACTGGTCAAAGTGTGCCGCGGCGGCCGGGGCCTAGGCGGCAAGTCCGATACTCGCTGAAAGGAAGTTCCTCGAGGAACAGACCCCCCCCAAGCCTCGAATGGTTAAGAGATTTTTCAAGGAAGAGGCTTGGGCCGTTTGGGGCCCCGAAGGTATTTTACCCGAGGAGCGAGCTGAACCCGAGAGTGTTTTACAAGGAAATGGACCAGACCAAAAGCCCCAGGAGCGACTTTTGGAAGGCTGATTTGAACCCCCCCCCCGTTTTTTTTTTTTTTTTTTTCCCCGAGCGAATAGTACCCCCTCGGCTACTCATTCAAAAACCCAAATCGATTCTCCGAGAGAGGAATCTGACGAGTAGACCCCCGAAGTATCTCGGACACGACGAATATATATATACATATATATATATCGTCAAATAGAACTGCCCGGTAAACCGTAGGCAGAGAGGGAGAAGAGGACAACAAACGAGGGGCTATGACAAACTGTTTCGTCGGAGTTTCACCGACTCATCAGGAGGCTGAACCCTCAACAGTCTGTAGAATCCCCTCACTGATTACACTGTAAGTGATAATCCACCTTAACCAAAATCGAAGTAGACTATCACTCACCCACACCAGACGGAATAGATATATATATATATATATATATCGTCACAAACAGAACTGCCCTGTAAAACCGTAGGCAGAGAGAGAGAAGAGGACAACAAACGAGGGGCTGTGACAAACTGTTTCGTCGGAGTATATATATATATATTTTTTTGTTTTTGTTTTTTTTGGAAACCCACTCGGATGTGCAAACCTCTTTAGTATCTCCGCGAGCGGCGACTAGGACACAGAAGTATCTTTCTGAAAACCCAACCCGAACACGCGAAAACCACAAAAGCGCCCCCCCTTGCACAAACCCAGTGCTTTTCAGAGAACCGACTTGGATATGCAAACCTCAAAAAGTGTCTCCTGAGCACAGACTCGGATGCAGAAGTATCTAAAAACACGATGCGGACTTCGCAAAAACCCCGAAAGTATCCCCCCTTGCACAGACTCAGTGTTTTTCAGAGAACCGACTTGGATATG